ATATGAGTGAGGATACAAAACGCACTTTCAGCTGCCCTCTCTGTCCCCAGACCTTTTATGTCGCAGCTAACCTCAGAGCGCACATGCAGTTCCATGAGGACGAGTATGAAAAACAAGAAAGGCTACTTCAATATCAAGTGGTGCCCAACAAACACTGGGAGAAGGGACACACCTGCCCACACTGCCCCAGTGTTTTTCGGGATGAGCCTGGTTTAAAAGGACATCTGTTAAGTGTCCATAAGCCAACTGCACAGTATTTAGAAACTTTAACCGCACCAAAAAAGCAGCTTACTCAAATAAGCAGCGACAACCCGCAAGGGAAGATATTGAATATTAAATCCTACAAGTGTTCAGAGTGCGGAAAATCATTCCGGCACCGCTCGGTGTTAGAGCTGCACATGCGAATACATTCCAAGGACAAACCATACCAGTGCAAAGTATGTAACAAGGGTTTTAGATTCAGCAGCTACCTGCAGCAACATCTCATCATCCACACGGGCAAGAAGCCGTACAAATGTCCAGATTGCGGGAAGGACTTTGCCTTCCTTCAGAACATGAGGACTCACCAGAAGCTGCACCAGCAGAAGCCGTTCCGCTGCACTAGCTGCCGTAAAGGGTACAGCAGCGAGAGCCAGCTCCAGCAACACATGTTGTCGCATAACGGCGATAAGCCGCACAAGTGCGAGCTGTGTGACAAGAGCTTTGGCTTGGCTTACTTGCTCCGAGACCACATGAATACGCACACGGGGGAGAGGCCTCACCGCTGCGAGGAGTGTCACAAATCTTTTTCCTGGTTCAGCAGCCTGCTGGTTCATCAGAAGATCCACGCTCGCAAGAAACAGGGACTAAGTCACTACAACTCCTACCCTTCCGGTGCCAGGATGAGAGGCAGGGGCAAAAGAGGAGGGAGATCAGCGTGGGGTTGGTCGAGACCATCCGGGGTCTCAGAAATAGTTGCCCCTCAACAAAACCTCTGCCCAATTTCACCTCACAGAGACACCGACTTGCATAGGCAACTACGTCAGCAGCCCTTACGTCCACGCTTGGATTCACAAACGAGGCATCTGACTGAGGCGTGGCCATCTGAGCCGCACTCCCAACCGCTCCAGTGGAGCGTGGACAGTAGAGAAGCGCCTGCACCCTCACAGCACCATCCTCAACCTCCACAATATGACACTCCAACGCAGCCACATCATCAGAGGGGTCCAGGATGGGCAGATATGCCCTTAATGGGTCTTGGATCGGTTCCAAACTTGGACTCCCGTGTGAAGGACAGTACTTCTTCTATCCTGGGCTCTCACGTACCAAAAAAAACCAGCCCATCAGCAGTTAGTGAGGTGACGCAACAGAGGCAGCATAAACTGTCATGGAATAGCACACCAACATCCACAGCCATGGCCTCCACGAGCTCTTTGCAGCACGATTTCTCCGTTCCCACCTCCTACATGGACGGAGCAGCACTGTGGAGTGTCCGGCCCACTCCACTGACAAATTCTCAGAGTTCCCCAAACAAGCTCAGCCAAGACCTGCAACTGCCAAGGTGGCCGGGTGGTCCTGAGCCGTCCACGCCTCCCAAGAAGGAGGAAAGGCTGTGGGACATCAGCAGCCCTCCAGTTATGTCTTCGACTGTTAATCAACCAGAAAAGACATGGAATGGCTGTGAGCCGCCGAAACCGTGGGCGTCTGGCCTTGCAGGTGCCTCTGCCTCAGCTCAGATAGACCAAAGCAGCTCCATACCAATATCAGCTCCCACTTCTCACGGGGTTGCCAACAACTTGTGGGACATTCAAACACCTCCAGGGGCTCCGAAGACTGTGAACTCTGTGGAAAAATTAGTAAATAACCAAGAATTTCAGAAACAGGTGTCGCCCAGCTGGAGCGGTGTACAGACCCCCACGCAGAAGGTCCCCATCTCCATCCAGTACGAGCCTCACCGTTTCAGTCAGGGGATTGGGACGCCAGTGTGGGCCTTCCAGAACAACTCTGTCGGACCTCAGACTCTGCTTCCCGGCCAGCTCAAACCAGGGGGCGGTCAGGAGCTGCAACAGCAGCAACCAATGGCAACAGCCGCTCAGATAATCATAAACCAACCTTCTCCTTTTTTCTCCCCTCCGCTCGCCCCTCTACCTCCTCTGGCTTTGCCTGGCCCACACCCCCTCCACTCTGTCGCCGTTGGTGCGATGCCCAGACCTCCACACCCGAATATTTTTTTCACACCACAGCCGGTCATGACTGAGAGGCAACATATGCCGCAGACCCTGCCCCTACCTCAGCTCCCACCACAGACCGAACCTCACAAACTCGGATCCCGTCTGCCTTTTCCCCCGGAGCGGCTTCTCCAGTGCATGATCTGCGGGCTCTCACTTCCCCGCGAGCTGGATCTACAGATGCATTACCTGCAACATGCACAGGGGGAGATATGACATTTAAGTAACAAAACTTAGTTATGTTTTTATAACTGTCTGTAAAACCTCATTCTTTTGACACTGTTCTGGATGAAAATAATACAAAAAGAGACATATGTGAAACTAGACCCAATTTGCACATTTGATTTTAACGTTTGTAAGACTGTGCAGTGTGTTTGAGTAGAGGATGTACATGTGTGTTAAATTGGTTTCACTGTCTTTTAAGATCATTTCAGTGGTTCAGATTAATGAGGTTCTGCAGGCTACATTTCATTTATTGCCAATGACGTTTAGATTTAGATCTTATTAGGAAGTTTTCTAGTTCAGTCCACATGTCTTGAACCATTTGTACTGTGTTTCTCCATGTACAGTATACGGTGTGCCTTTTATGAGTACAGTCTGCATGTCTGCTGTCTTGGTATTCTAGGCCCTAGTTTGTACTTCTAAAGTAGACTAAACAGTGTGACCTCATCCTGTTGAAGACGGCGCAATGCTAAATGTGCTGAAAAGATTGGGGTTATGAGGTCAAATTTATTTTAAAGCATACATTGACTTGCAAAAGTATTTATACCTCAACCATTTTTTTGCATTTTTGACACTTTACAACCAGAAATATGAATGCGTCTTTGTGGGATTTTATGTGATGGAGTGTATTAAAAACTGCAAGGTGGATTATGAAGTCGACTGCACCAAATTACTTTTGAAGGCAACAGAATAAGCTTCAGTCAACAAGGCACACCAGTTTATTTGTAAAATCCTTGCAGCATTTTCCTTCCACTTCATGGTTATATATTATTCTCATAACATAAAATTCTAATGCTATGCATTGTGGTTGTACTGTGACAAGACGTATAAAAAAAATTAAAGGGGTATGAATAATTTTGCAAAGCACTGTACAAATGAAAGCTGCTGGCCTACTGGTGTAATCTCCGCTAGAAAGTTCTCGTATGCACACAGAGCCATGGGCTGGGTCCAAATGTCTTGCCAATCAACACAGTAACCACTGTGGGAATCTGGCTGAAGCAAACCGTCAAAAACAAAACTAACCATGTGTAATTTAAAAGCTCCTTTTATGTGAAAGGTTTTTAGTAAAATGAATCATGAATATTTAGTCACCATTAGGAAAGTATGACACTGTTTGAAAGTGAGTTTTGTAATAAACCAGATTTCAATTTGTGATTTGTCTTCTTTTTTCCAACAATAAGACAAACTGGTGTTAAACTTCAGTCAAATTGATCCTGTATGAATTTAACAGAAATGTACCTATATTTATAAAACCAATTCCCACCTATAAGTGTTTAAATGTATTTTTGTGATCAAACATTTCATTCCATGACTGTAGCTTTAGTCAGTTTCAGGTTCTCATTTTCCCTGTTTTTTTTTAAATGGAGTAGCTTCACTGGGACATTATCAGTCTGAAAACGTTTTACTGCTGTACAATAAACACACATCTATCGTTTGTAAAAGAATAATTATTCAGTTTCCTGTGCATTTATTGGTTACAAAACTGACCCTTCTACCTCTACCTGTGGTTTTAGCATGGAAGTTTCTCCCATCATGTCCTTACATTGGATTAAATAAAACCTGCCTTTGATTATAACATTGTTTGGTGCTGTTTCACACACGTGAGAATATTTTTTATTTGCATGTTTGTCCTGTTTGATCTCTGGTGCTTTTGAAGCTGCAAAATGTCCTAAAGTGTCACATTTTAATAAATATGTACATCATTAAATAACTGCTTAAGATGCCAAAAATGGTTACAACTGGAAGCATACTTTTGGAAATTTGTAAAATAGAACTGTTGTTGAACCTCTACATCAAGTATTCACAGACAGATAATCAGTCAAAACTTGCTCCAATTCAGTATAACAAATTATTAAACATTATTTGAATTGGGGACTCCATTAATTATTAAAACCATAACTGACCTAGATATTTTTTATTTCCAGGCCATATTGACAGCCTGAATAATTTGTAATGGAATGGAAGCTTGGATAATGCATGGAAACAATTCTGAGTGCACTCAATATGAAATATATTTCAATTAAATATATTTAAAATCTTTGTTGTGAATTTAAAAAGTATTTAAAAATTGCCTGAACGTTTGACGCAATATTAAAAGCGCTGAGATCAGCACACCAATTCTAAATCTGAAATAGTTGCTCAAAACTGAACTCTATTCACATTTTGTACACTTCAGGTGCCATAAGTAAAATTATTTCTGATTTATAACAGCTTCACCTAAACTCTTTAAAAAGAAATACAAAACTGAAACTGCATTTCTGCTTTAAGTTATTGGGAATGGAATTATGGAGACAATGTCAGCAAAACAAAACAGAGATAACAAAACGAAATATTCAAACATTGAAACCATGCTTCTTAAAAGGACAATCGTATTCAGCTAACATTTGAACGAACGAGACCAATGAGTCATTTAAAGAACTAAAACGTAAGTCAACCTAAACATTTTTCCCCGAATGACGAAACTGGCATTTAAAATAGTTTGTTGTTTAAGTCTGCTGAGTGTCCAGCAGGGGGCACTAATCGGCCATAACTAAAATCCAAAACGGCAGAAGAAGAGCTTACAACCAACTGAAATGCGCATGCGTAAAATAGCAATCCGTTGATTAACAGTTGGTTGAATTGTGGTCATTTCCACTATAGTAAACTCTCGGTCGTATTATCGTCTGCTACTATTTTCCGACCCGAGCTGTTTGAGTGTTATTAAAGAGGGTTACACTAAATCCGCAGCTTGCCCAACGAACCTTAGCGGAAAGGTAGCTAACGTTAGCAAACAGACACAAGGCAAAATGGACGAAACTTCTACCGCAGCAGAGATCGGAGAGGAAAGAGCTGAAAACGTGGCCTGTAATGCCGACAAAGACGATGAAAACAACGAACATCCATCCGCTCAGGACGCCGATGACGGTGAGTATCCGCTCGTTAAACATCAGCACAAACCAGACCGATGTGCTGGGCAACCATGCTGCGATGGGTTCCTTATCTGCACTAACTTTAACCTAATATCACAAACGCACAAGCTGCAGATTTACATGTAAAAATTAGCACGGATTTGTCAACTTGCGCTGTACAATTACCGGGGTGACGAGTTTTGTTTCATGAGTAATTGTTTTGATGGTCTGGTGTGTGTGATACCAGACCAATGTTTTGTCTTAATTTACATTTTGCCTCCAGAAGCCTAAATGTTCTTGCTTATTAATGTTAGTTTTATTGATCGTTATAAGCCTAAGCAGGCTTTCTGAAGGTCTACATTTTATTTAAAAAGCCGTGTGCTTTTCCAATCAGTATTATTATTAGTGCAATTTTTTTGTTTTTTTTGCTCAGCTAATTTAGCTATCAATGCTAAAATGCATACATACACCTGAATCAAAATGTATGTTTCTAAGAAGCATAAATGTGGTAAAGGTTAAGCTTATCATAAAAAAAAAAATAATATAGTTGGCTATGTTTAGTGCATTGCAGATAAAATGTGAGACACTGGTTTAATCTGAAGCCATTCAAAGAACTTTTCATTTGCACCAAGATCAGATCTGAGATGTGGAGGACTTTTTAAAACTGAAGTCTGTAAAAAGATGAGATTTTGGGTAAATCTGTATGTTATTCATATTCTTTGTATGACTAAATCTGCTTAAATAAAGCTTTCTAAATTACGACTCGAAGTTTATTAAATAATCTTTGAATGTTCTGCCTTTTGTAGTCGATAAAATGCAGGTTAGGGAATTCATTTTAGAAATGAAACATTCTGATTTGGATCAAAAATGCATTCTCTTTAGTTAAATCCTGAAATTAATTTTACTAGTTCTCCCGCAGGATTTTTGAATTTCAACTAGCAAACATTTGCGGTCACTATATCCACTGAACGTTTGTCAGAAATTTTTCGTTTGCACAATAATATCTGGTTGGGTTCTGTCACAATCCTCTTGTAGATTGCTTTCTTGTGTCTTTAAGTTTTCAAAACAAGCAAACTGATTTAGATTCTGCTGAATGACGTTCACTAGATAAGACAACGCTCCTGTCATTTCTCTGTACTCTATCACTATTGTCACACTCTTCTGTGGTTGTCCTATCTCACTATTACAGCTTATAGTAATTATGACGACCTCTGGAGGTTGATAGGGAGAGGCTCAACTTTGATCCCCGATTCCATGTTGAGGCCTTTTAGCTGATAACAAAGTGTAAAGTGTTGATCATTGACTGGAAGTCATCTAAAATGGGCCAATTATTCAATTACAAAGAGCAAATACATTTATTCACATGGTTGCTATATAAAATATCCTAAATGTGGTTTGAATTGTTAGTGTTGTCATAAGGTGGTTTATGTGGTTTATGACTTATTTAAGATAATCTAAACATGATCACAGTCCTTTTTTGCTGGAATCACTCAAAATGGGCCATTTAAACCCACTTCATATAGTCACTTAATGCATAATTAAGCTCACTTTTTCTGTTGTCTTTGTATTTTAAAGAGTAGTTGTTTTAAGCAATAAAATAATGAATAAAATGTTCTGTAGTCTGAACACTGAAAGAAGTTCATTTCTGTTTTATAAAATGAATGTGAATTTGTTGTAGTCTCATTTTGTGTGTGTTTTTTTTTTTTGTTTTCTGTAAACTTTAATGTAGTGAAAATTATAATAAAAACATTATTTAAGCCTGTGTTTTGTTATATATATTTTTTAATTCCTTTCTTGGAAGCAGGAGTCTCTTTGACCTCCTATTTTCCCGTTTCTATTTCTAGGGGATGAACTTTTCTGCTGTCGGAATTGCGGGGAAGCTTTCAGCGAGGAGGCTGCGTTCTTGGAGCATCGCCTTCAGCATCCTCCACAAAACACGCACTTAGACAGCCAGTCTGACGGTTTACTTGACTCTGAAAAGGACAGTGAAGCACTGTATTTTTGCTCTTACTGTACACTGTCATTTGTTGAGATGAGCGAGCTGCACTTGCACATGAAGGACCACGGTCAAATCTCTCAAAAGGGCTCTGATATTAATCCTGGAGCGACAAAGCAGCACGCCTATGAATGCTCAGATTGTGGCAAATCGTACACAGTGATCGGACACTTCCTCAACCATCAGCGCTCACACAGACAGCCCTCCAAATCGGTTTTTCACGACTTGGAACATTTAAAAAAGAAATCGTTTCAGTGCGAGTCCTGCGGGAGAAATTACTCTCGTGCTTCGGCTCTCGATGCTCATCGGCGTTGCCATCAAGAGAAGCTGGTGAAGTCGAAAAACAGGAGCTCGGGAGAAACGGTTCAGCCGGCAGAGCCGCCAGCAGAAGTAAAGCCATGTGAAAATGCGACTGAAGAAGATGGTGATAAACCTTTTAAATGTTTGTGTGGCAAAGCTTTTTCTAGCATGATGCGGCTGAAAACACATCAGCGATTCAGCCGTAACACGCTTTGCTCTCCGGAGGAGATGAAGCAAAAACCAAAGAAGGGCTGTGGTGAGTTTTACTGCAGCGAGTGCAACAAGGCATTTAATGGCCACATCGCCCTCTTTAACCACCAGCGGTGGCACGCGAATCACTCTGATAACACTGCAAAAAGGTTCCCATGCGAGGAATGTGGGAAAGAGTTCATGACTCTGACGTTCTACTACAGACATCAGCGCACAGCACACAGCGACGAGACCCCATCAAAATCCTTCCAACATCAAGTCTGTCAGCTTCAAAAGAAGGCGTTTGAATGTAAAGATTGTGGACTGAAATTTTCCAGGGCTTCTGCACTTCAGTCCCATCAGCTCCAGCACACCGATGTTTTCAGAGAAACAGAGAAGGCCCACTCTGAATCCACTGTGTTGCCTCAGCAGGAATCAGGAAGGGAGCAGAAAGCCAGCGAGCGCTTAGAGGCTTCAGTGGAAGGAACAGTGAAAGCAGAAACCACTCCTCCCACCGATGTGGGTGGAGAACATCAGATAAACGAAATGGATGAAGAGATGGAGAGCTATGAACCGGGCGACTTCAACGTGCAAGTGATCAGTGCGAGTGAATCGGAGGACGAGGGTCTCCAAGAGACAAATCCTGACCTGGAACTGCTGTGTGAGTCAGATCAGGATATAAGGGACGATGGTGAAGTATACCCTGGAAATCTGGTTTCAAAACCAGATGTGGACTTGAAAATAGTCCAGATTGACTTTGCCGAAAGCTCGCAGTGTCCGCCAATAGAGAATGAAGATCAGCTTAAAACTGCGGAGGAGAGATTCGGTTGCCCCGAGTGTTATCGGTGGTTTAATAATCCCTCATCGCTGCGCGTCCACAGAATGTGGCACAACGTTCGTAGGAGAAGACATCAGAATCAAGGTCAGTCAGAGGAAGTTTACAATTGTGACACATTTCCTTATGAAACACAAAGCGGTGGCTCATTGATTCAGACCGAAACAAGCTTAGAAGAGTCCACTTTCACGTGCAGTGACTGTGATCAGGTTTTCACAGAGTTACCTGCTTTATTGTCGCATCAGTTACATCACCCTAAAAGAAAACAGTTCCAATGCCCACATTGTACATCATCCTATTTGCATGCAGCCAGCTTGTACAACCATTTGAAAACCTGCACAACACAAAAGAGGGACACTAATTCTGTCAGTAAGAAAGAGTACAATCCAAAGAAAACCCTTCTGGGTCCAAAGATTTATCATTGTGAGCAGTGTGGGAAGGGTTTCTGGTCCTTGGGGGCATTCTCTCATCACAAGCAAAATCAGATGGAGTGCGTCGATTTGAGACTCAGGAAAGGCGTTTCAGGATCTATGCACTCCAACGGACGCTCGCGCTCCACAATCAAAGTGGCGTGTCCCGTTTGTGGCAGGAAGTTCCGCCACAAGGGCATCATGGCACTGCACATGCGCAAGCACGAAAACGGAGACCACAAGTGCGATCTCTGCGGCCGCTCCTTCCGCCTTTTTTCCAGCTTGCTGAGGCACGAGGTGGTGCACAGCGATCAGTTGCTCCCACCACCTGCCAAGTCCTTCCAGCATCAGGTGGAACAGCTGAAGAAGAACACATATGCCTGCCCTGACTGTGGAAAGCTGTTCTCCCGGGCCAAAGCTCTGCAGTTTCATATGAAGAGCCATGGCTACGAGACCGGCCTCTCTCCATCGTCAACGGGAACTGGGGAGGTTCTGAAGGATCTGCAGTGTGTTACGTGCTTTGCTCATTTCACCAAGAAGTCCTCCTTAAGGGCTCACCAGAAGCTTTGCACAAGTAGATGCAGAGAGGGAGGAAGGAAGACAGAGCAGTCTGAAAAGGATGCTACAAAGACGGAGGGCGTGGATGCCAACATGCCAGAAATATCCGAGCAAATAAATGTAGGGGGCAGTGATGCACAAAAGATGGAACAGCACCTGAAAGGGAGCGATTCGGGCTCCAATAAAGGGAAGTATCAATGCAAGATTTCTAACAAAAGCTCTTCAACGACTGGTGCCATGAACATTCATAAAAGAACTCGCGGTGAACGCAACAAAGGAGTTGGAAAATCAACTTCACCTATCTCTGTAGTGTTCAAAATAAGTAAAAAAGACGAGCAGAGTAAAGGACTGATTCACTGTTCAGATTGCGGAAGACGTTTCACCACCAAGTCGGCGCTCGGCTCCCACAAACGGTGGCACAGAAATAAATGTTCGTCATCCTCACTCGAAGATTCTCTCAGTTCCGCTGGCCATAAGACGGAGGACGAAGGTTTTAAGTGTGAGAAATGTGGGGAACATTTCTTCAACCGTCATGTCCTCCAGCACCACTGGATCTTTAATCCTCAGTGTCGGACTGAAACGGATCCAGAACCAAATGCAGAAATGGAGACAAACGGCTCAGCAAAGCAGTTTTCATGTCCAGAGTGTGGCCAGACATTTGGGCAAGTTTCACTTTTAGCTTCTCATTATGAAAAGGAGCATCGGATGTTTTTGGAGTCAGGAAAAACTCCAGGAACTCCAAATTCATTAGCTTTGGCCTCAGAACAAACTGATGTCAGCCGTGCTGGGAATGAATCCTTGTCATCTGTCCTGAAGACTAAAACTCATCAATGCCCCCTCTGTTCCATGACTTTTGAAAAAGCAAGAGGTCTTCGTGCTCATAAATGGCAGGCACACTCACAGGGCAAAAAGAGCAAAATGAACTTGCTGCTGAGAGAAAATGTTGAGCTAAGGACCTTAAAGGATGAAGTTGAGCAGACCGAGCACTCTGTGATCAACTCTAAAGAAATGAAGGAAGTTAAATTGGACCCTGACGGACCTGTCTTATGTCTCCACGCTGGGAAAAAGTCTAGCTCTGCAGAGACTCCTCATCCCCCCAACAGGGCTCGCTTAGAGGTGAAGCAGAAGATGGAAACCGCTGAAGCCACAGACGAGGTTCTCTCCCCGCAGAGCCGTCTTTCTGAACACACAGTGAAATACCTCTTCAAGTGCGATAAATGCGGCAAAGCTTTCCAAACCGAGGAGCAGTTAGAAAGCCACAAGATCAAGGCGAAGAGCCGGCCCTACTGCTGCGCCCTGTGTTGCCACGGCTTCTGGACGGAGAGCCAGCTTCAGCAGCACCTTGCCTGGCACGACCAGGTGCGATGCCGCCTCCCGAGTGAGGTGCGCCTGTGGCTCAGCTCCGCTGTGACGTCAAAGCCTTTGAAACCCAACTCCCCCAATGACGGCAAAGGAAAACTTCTCCCACATTCTGCCGCGAGCGAAGCCACCCATCCTCGACCCCGTCCGGCTCTTGACGTGCACGCGTTGCAGCAAAGCCTTCCATTCACCAACAGCATTACAGAAACATAAAGTGCAGTGCATCAACAGCGTGCCATACCGCTGCTCCGTTTGCCCCCGGAGTTTTAGTTGCATTTATTTTTGATCAGCAGAAATGTATCTGGGGCCTCTTCTGCAGCCTTAATCTGCCTTGAATGTGAAACTCCTTCACCAGCATCTTGCATCGCATGAGGACAGATTGTGTTTTTGCTTTCTGTTGCACCTTTGTGACACCTTTGGCTCCCCCACTCTCAGGCTTTCCTTTACACTGGACCAGTATCACTGTAAATGTGGACGTGCAACTCCTTTCATAAGCTTCTTATGTCTAGATGAATGTCTAAACTTTTTGCATTTGTGTTTATAATTAAAGAGAACGATGAATATTATTACATTGCCAGAACTTAACGCATTCACGTTTTAAAGATGTTTCATAAAAACAAAAGCACTCTAATTCAAAGGTCTATAAAATAGATTGAGACTTTATATGTAGACATTTCCTGCTGTTTGAAAATGCTGTGAAGTTTTGATGATGTGCTGCTGTACATATTTCCCATCAACTCGGATAGTAGTGACGTTATTTGTCTGTTAAAGCACATTTTTCAGTGTTCGATCTTTTTTCTTTATAGTTATGTATCTCTTTGTTGTGGCTAGACTACTCCTGAATATGGTGTTTGTTTCTACTGAATTGCTGTAAAATAGTAAAGACTTGGTTAATATATTTCTTGTTTTCATTTCTTTACGAACAGCGTTTCATTTGACCCTATAAATTGCTGTTTCAGAAACAGAAGAAAATAAAATTGTTTAAGTCTCGCAGTCGTGTTGTTGATTCAGCCTCCATTGGTCCATCGAATTGAATAGTTCATGATGATTCTTTCTACTTTTATTTACTTGGAAATGTTTATTCATGGTTTCGCGTTTGTCTGAAATCTCCCCCAAAAAACATTACCTGAGTAAATTGATTAAGGGGGGTAATGTTTTTTTTTAAAGGTATTATTATTAAGGTATTTTTAGTTTTGATTTTAAATTTGACTATTTGCTCAAAAGACATAAACCAAAGCCAGTCCTGGGAATCTGCTGCTTCTTATGATTATAGTTTAACATCTTTGGGTATTTAGAGCTTGAATACCACTGACTTAAATCATGGCATATCAAATTAATCTGCTTTATGAAGATGTAGTTTCATTAATTAAATTGTAAAGAAATGATTTTAGACTTTGTAATTATTAATGGATTTAATTAAATGGTATAAATAAAACACATTACTCCAGAGGGGAAATTTGTGTGCTACAGTATGTTAGAATAATTATGTTTTGTTATCATTCTGACATTTGTAGTTATAATAGATTTAGTATTCACATCCCTGTTAGCTACAGCTGTGTACAGACCTTGAAGCTGCAGCCACTTGTATCTTCGGGATACTCCTATCTGCCTCCCTCTACATTCCTTTTCTACTTTCTACTTTGTAATAAAAGAGAAATCCCTAACAAAGGGTCTTTAGAGCGAACGGCTTGAAGCAGCAGTTTGCTGGGTTCTCTCCTTTTGCAAAAGCTTTCATAAAATTCACTTACGTTGTCTGTTTGTTCTTTTATTTAGATTCATAAGTACCTATCACAGTATAAACTGTATTATACAATCAGTTTTCCCTTATCTTGGTTCGGATTCCTCTTTGGATCAGCTGAGTGTTATAAAGTATGACAGATTTTAATCCCTGATTATAAAATTAATGCAGAGAGGCCTGACCCATCTTGAATCGAAGTCTTTCTAGTGTATACACATAGGTTACATACAGTTATTTCAAATTTTTGGTTTTCAAGCTTCCAGTAAAATATCTCTAAGGTAGATTAAAATAGTTTCTTTGTCTGTATGACATGTTTCCTCTGACTGCAGGTAAAGTTAACCCTTCGGCCAGAGTCCTGACTTGAATATTAAAGGCAATCTGTGAAAGGAGCTAAAGATGAGAGAGATGGCAATGAGGCCTTCCAACCTTGAATCAACGTGTCTGGAAATCTGCAAGAAGTTGGTCAGCAGCTAGGATCTGATTGCCATCAATCCAAAAATGTTTTTTTGTCCACCAGTTTCTGAGCTCATCGATCACTATTAAAATTGGCGCTCCCTTTATATGGTTTTATACTTTTAGAGATTCCAGTCTCATTTCCAAACTTAGAGATTCCAGTCTCATTAAGTCACCCGAGTTTCTCGGGTGACTTAAAACAATTTTCAGTCTTCGTCTTTAGGTGTATGAATAACGCTGGCTTGACTGTATATGCTTCATTTAATTAGGCCATATATTGTTCTTAACTCTGAGCACCTTATTTAAGCATCATTGTAGAAGAGAAAGTAATTTTACCTTGTTATACTTTTACTTTGTTCTAAGATTTAAAAACATGGGTTTATGATTTTCTTTTCAATTTTTCTGCCAGTGTTTTAGGCATAAGCAGCTTTCAAGTTGGACAAATTTCTCATTTAAAAACATCAGCGGAAATAAATTCAGATAAACCAGACAGGACATTTTCTGTGTGAAGTACTCAACATTCTTTTTTTTTTTTCTTTTTCTTTTCTTTGCAGCCAAAGAGAATGACATAACATGCGAGGACTGTGGCCTGACGTTTACTCTCATGGACGCCTATGAGACTCACCTGCACCAGCACGCACTGGACGATGAGGAAGCCCAGATGAGAGACAACGAGGCTCCCACAGAACATGTGCAAGATGAAGAAAACGAGTGCGAAGACCGGACCGCGGCTGTGGACGGTTGTGATGCGAACGGTTCGGCACAAACCCAACCTCCCCAGTTAACGCAAAGCAGTCGGTATCCTGTGAATCCCTCCAGATACACATGTGCAGTTTGTGGGAAGAGCTACACCTACCTCGTTTCGTTTCAAAAACACCAAAAAATGCATGAAAAACCACGTGAAAAAGAAAAAATCCAGGGCCCCGTTGATTCAAACTTGCGTCTGTACGAGTGTCCAGACTGCGGGATGTCGTTCATCAGGCGAACGCGACTGGTCAGCCATCTGAGAGTTCACAGATCCAAAGGGCGCAATAATCTCCCCAAATGTGATCAATGCAACAAAGTCTTCATTTCTGTAAAGACGTGGACGGCTCACCTGGAGCTGCACAAAGAGAGACGGTTCTGGTGTTTGAGCTGTGCTCAAGGCTTCCTGAATGAAGAGTTGCTGGACAAACACTTACAGAATCACAGTCGGCGACAGCAGAACCACAAAGCTGACGACAGAAGCGTCCACTACGCCAAGCTGCCGGAGAGTCCAAAAATGCAGCGCAGAAAAAAGCCTCATGTTTGCCTTCACTGTGGCAAGAGGTTCTGGCGTTCTAGACAACTATTTAGACACACACAAAAGCATCTTGGACATGAAGGCAGGGTCATCACCAAACCTTCAGGGAGCGCAGTGATTTATCGAGAGACGGGAGACATTAAAACAGAAACGTCTATAGATGAAGGAGAAAAGCTGGAGGTGGATGTGAGCATCACAGAGTTGCAGGTGAAGGAGGAAGACGTGCAAGTTGAGGTGCAGAGTCAACATGCGGCGGCCGAAGACGGGGATCAGGAAGACTCTGAGGATTCAGACTGTGGAGAGCCTGGTCATCACTATGAGCTTTCAGAACCTTGCCTCTCGGACGACCGGCCGGACCAGCCGAGCTCAGAAGCTGCACAGACACCAACTGCACAGACACCAACTGGAGGAGAGATGGAGAAAGCAGAGCCAAAACTGCACAGAGAGCATAAGTATTGGGAATGGGAGTGCACTGAATGCGACATGGGCTTTGATGAAATGGCAAAGCTGCACTCGCATTATGTAAAACACGCGACAGGAGAGTTACCCATACCAAAGGAAGAAATTGAGGTCTGAAACCTTTCAAAAGGTTTATTTTTTGTCTTTGTATTACTACAGGATTTCAGCTTTTTAATAAAATGTTTGGTGTGGGGGGTGTTAACTATGCTTCTGATTGTTTGAAATTTGAATGTTTGTTGTAAGACAACATACAGAGATAAGAGAAAAGGTGGAAACTGGAAGAAGCAAAATAATGCATGCTTGTTCACTTGTAAAACCAAAATAAAAATAAGTCCATCCAAACTGAGCTGAACAGTCACTTTTCTTTAACTTCAGATTTTGTCAGAACATCCACAAAGCTGTGTATGAATTGATTTCATAAGCAAGTGGACTGAAAATTGTACATAGTCAATACTCTGTAATTAATACATTTTCAACCTACGTTTTGTACCAGATTTGCACATCCAATCAAACTCAAATCTTTGCTAATTCTTCTGTGCAAAATGACTCAAACTCATATTAAAGAGTGTGTGTGTGAGCAGCAGCTTTAATTCTGATACCTAATTCTCAACTGGACTTCAGACTGGACACTGATTAGATCACTCTGACACGACTACTTTAATCTAAACCATCGCTTTCTCTGCGTTTAGACTCATTGACCTGCTGGAAGTCTTTAGTCTTCTGGAACCTCCAGAAGGTTGTCTTCCAGTGTTGCATTATATTTGTCCATCTTCTCATCCACCCTGCTGAGCTTTACTACCCCTGCTACAGAAACATATCCTTGCTGCATGTTGCTGCAAATACTGTGTGTTTCATGGTGCAGTAAGAGCAAAATGGTTGTTAGTGGATACAAATATTTGCTATACTTTCATTTCAAAGTTTTATTTCTTTGCATCAGTGCATAACAAAATAAGTGCTTCGAGGTTGTATTATTACAACAAGCATTTCAAAGAGGAGGAGACTGCTGTTGTAGAGCATTGTAGGTTCTGCAAAGTGTTTTTGAAAAGCAGATTTTTAAAAAAATAAATCAATGTTTTCAGTGTGTCTGTTAAATCCTTACACCATAAATATGGAAATAATGGGTTGTTTAAAAGAGTTCATTTGTATTTGCAAAACAAACAAAAAAACAACATATCCCATGATTCCCGCGTGCGCGTCTTTTGTCCGACGTAACGTCGCGCGCTCTGCATCTGCTCCGTGGTGGCTTTGTGAGAACCGACGCAGGGATGTTTGGGCGGTCGAGTCGGGCCAGGTAACGTATATCTACATCCCGCTCTCTCGTTGCGGGCCGAGCGTGAGCTTCTGAAACAGGAAGAAGAGCTGAACGAGAGCGTGTTTATCATCTACGGTCCCGTTACAGACGGGAGAGGCGGAGATTCGCGTCCTGATTTTGTCCCGAGTGTGTGAATCAGGCTAACCGGGCTATTGTTACCTGCGTGTCGGATGCGTTTGGAACGAGTTTATTCATGAAGCCTCTTAGCATTGCTAAAACGGCTGTAGCAAAAACAAAAAAACAACCCCCACAGACTTTAGAGTCTTCGCGTTTTACCAGCTGCCCTACTTATCTAGCAGTACTCTATTGTTATTCAAATGGTTTAAGCCCAGTATCCCAGCTGTCTCCCAGTGGATAAAGCTGCCCATTGATTTTTAATCAGAGGTGTAACTATGGCTACGCATACATGCTAATGCATTTTGTACCTTTTTGTAGTTAGGGAGAAAGGAAGTGGTTTCACTGTTGCATGTGAGACACTGAAGCAGAGAGCCATGCAGAGTTCACCAGAGGATCACCCTGAATCCAGCCCAGTGGTCGTGTCTGCTGCAGAGCATCAACAGGACGCAGAGGCTCAACCCAGCCGAAGCAAGCCAGAGGATCAAGAGGGGAAGGACAAACCAGGCGCCCCTGCTCAGACCACCACCACACCTACAAGTATGAGCGCATCTCCCCCACTGGGTAAGGAGCCCGGTGTCCAGTCACAGGCAGAGTCCAGGGAAAAAAATGATGGAAAGACGAATACAGACCCTCCTGCAAAGCCGTGTGCCCCACCAGGACCTGCTGCTGAGAGTGATGGGCAGGGAGTAAAAAAACAAGGCAAAGGTTCGAGCGATGGGAGGAGATATCTTTCTTCCACGAAGGCCATGATTGATCCCCTGGATATGGACATGTCAGAGTCAGAGGTCACATGTGAGTACTTCACTTACTTATTTACTACACACTTGTGGGCACCCTGAACTTTCAAAGCTTTGTTGCAGAGTTCCACTTAATATCAGCTCGTCAAGTAAAGAGTTATAAATAGTAGTAGCTCAAAAACGACTCGGTTTTACCTGCACATTTTTAGAATACAAAGTGTTTTCTTATTTCTCTTCCGGTGGACTTTCACTTTAGAAATCTTTCTACATTCTTTGAACCAGGACTGTATGTAATGCATTTCTGAACATGGTTTGCTGAAATTAAATTACATTCTTGCAGGAGCTGCATGTTCAAAACAGACAACCTTGATTAAAGAACTTTTATAAAACTTTAAACAAAGAATAAAGACAGTTAAAGTCATACCTTCAGTTTACATTGTAACCTGTTTGAAAACTTCTATTGAGAATCAATAAAATATATAGCTTTATATTTTTTATTAGATACTGTCACAAATTTTAATAAGTGATCAAAGTTCTACCTGTTTTTTGTAGTTGGAATAATCATCAGTAAACTGACATACTAAATAGAGCCGGAACCATGATGTTCACCAGCAGCGAAACAGAATATTTTCTCATAAAACACAATTTGATATTTTTTTGTATGAAGTCACTTAAGATAAGATAAATATAAAATAAAAGTCTTTGTTGTCGTTGTCACAGGAACAACAACATTTTAAAAAGTTTATTTTAAATTTAACCACATTAACAGATTATTTAGGTTATTAAAAAAAAAACCTGTTCAAATTCAGGTGAATACTGTATTATTTGCCACTTGCCTAAAAGAAGGAGAACAGTAGATAGGACATTGTATTTTGTGAATTTTTATGTTTTTTCATTTCTTGAAATTTTTTAGTTCTCCCAATGGATACCTGGATTCTCTCCGGATACTTCAACTTCTTCCCTCAGCCCAAAAACATTACTTTTAGGTTTATTCATGGGGTTCTCTTTTTTAGATTGTTTTTTCCCCACTTTTATTAGATATTTAATAATTATAACAATCATTTAACATAAATTTATAAATTTTTCTAATCTTCTGAGACTACCCTTACGCCCCCTAGTGGGCCCCACTTTGAAAATCACCGAATTAGGTGCTATCTTTATTTTGCCCTGTGCCCTGTGGCAACTTGTCCAGGGTATATTCTGCCTCTCCCTCTATGGGCAAGAGAATTGAACAGTCTAAAATATTGACACATGTTAAACTTCTGACTCTCCTCTGTTATTTTTCTGCAGCATCTCAGCTCTCTCTGCATTGCATCGAGTGCCATATAATCTTCAGCGACCACAAAGGCAAAGAACGTCACATGAAGCACAGTCACCCCGCCGAGTACGAGCAGTGCATCCTGAGGAATTCGCTTTTTGCCTGTTATGTTTGCGACAGCCACTTCACAAACTCAACAGAGCTCATGGCCCACCAGAAGGCCCACCCAGACAAGAAACCCTTCAAGTGTCCGATCTGCAGTCAGTCCTTTAAGAAGTCATCAGAGCTAACAGCCCATAAAAAGATCCATTTTGGTCAGGATGGGTATACCTGCAAGGACTGTGGCAAGTCTTGCAAGACGCTGACATTGTTAAAGTATCATCACCGCAAGCACTCAGGAGAGAAACCTTATGTTTGCAAGGATTGTGGAAAGAGGTTCCCCTTATCCAAAGCTCTGCAAAAGCACGTTGAGTCACATTCCTTAGATGGAGCTGAAGTGGATACAGTGTCGACTGCAGCAACAAAAACAAACAAAGCTGATGGTAGGAAGCCTCTTTTTGACTTAAACGTGTTTTCATTACACATTTTAAAGTCTAAACAGATAAATGAATGGATTGTAATTTTCTGACTCATTAATTAAATGCCTCCTAATTTTTTTTTTTTTATCCACCTTTAGATGCTTCTCCCAGGGTTTACATTTGCTCTGTGTGCAAGGCCACTTTCAAGAGTCTCAAAACACGGCAGCAGCATCTGATAACAAAGCACAAATTTGATGCAATCACGAACCCATTTCGAGCTGGGCTACAAAATACCCCGCTTATAAGTCCAATATCTATTTCCCAACCAGCGTTATTGCAAGTGGAACCCAACGGACCTCTGCAAAAAGTTGATGGCAATATCGACACTGAGCAGATTCGGAAGCTTATTGAATCGTTGGGAAATGTGCAGAAAGTGAATCAAGTTGTCATACTGGGGCAGGTGCCACCAAATGCCCCACCACTGCAGGTGCACCAGGTGTCAGAACCAGCAGCAACGGTTGATTTGAATCTGGGCCCACCACAGCTAGATTTTATTGGACTGAAACCGGCAGGATCTAAGTCACTTCAACTGGACACTTTAGTCAGCCCAATGGATCAAACAATTATACTGGAGCCTATTACTCCAGAAGGACAACTGGAAACCCCCTCTTTCTCAGAGCTGGGCTCCCATGTAGCTGCAGAAGAACACGTAGAGTTGACACTCGTTCCGGCTGGACAGACTGAAAGACTCGAAGAAGAAGCAGTGCATCAGAACCTTCAACAGCCTAAAATTAGCCCAAGGAACTACGTCCCCAGTGTTTGTCAGAATGAGGTAGCTGGTCTCAAGGAAAACCTTGAACAAACGTTCATTTTAGAACTTACCCCTGCTTTAATGCCAGCTGCGGAGCTCGAACAGTCTCAAAGTGAACCACAAAATGAGGTTATTTCCTCTTCTTTGGTTAAAAGCACAGAGCAGGAAACTCCTGATCTGGCTCCAAGTGACACTGTAGAAGATGCAAAACATACCAAGATGCCAGTCCCACCACTCACACCCACAGTTGAGCTGGAACTTACATCTACACACCCAGAGGAACAGGACCTGTCTTCTTGCCCTTCTGCTCCACCAGAAACACTCGTACAAGCTCCAAGTGAATCTGAAGCAAAGAAAAATACAG